CTTCTGCACAGCCAAAAGAAACCGTATTAAAATAAAAAGAGAACCAATTGTATGGGAAAACATATTTGCCAATGATACCTCAGACAAGGGTTTAATCTCCAAAATATACAAAGAACTTGCACGACTCCACTCTTAAGAAGACAAGCAACCCAATTAAAACATTGGCAAAGGACTCGAACAGACACTTCTTCAAGGAGGACATACAGAGGATCCAGAGACACATGAAAAGTTGCTCAATATCACTAGCTATCAGAGAGATGAAAATTAAAACCACAATGAGATATCACTTCACACCAGTCAGAATGGCCATCATAAACAAAGCAACAAACAACAAGTGTTGGAGAGGTTGTGGAGAAAAGGGGTCCCTAGTGCACTATTGGTGGGACTGCAGACTGGTACAACCACTATGGAAAGCAGTATGGAACTTCCTCAGAAAACTAAAAATGGATCTGCCTTTCAACCCAACAATTCCCCTGCTGGGACTATATCCTAAGAATACTAAAACACCAATACAAAAGAGCCTTTGCACCCCAATGCTCATAGCAGCACAATTTACAATAGCTAAGTGCTGGAAGCATCCTAGATGCCCATCAGTAAATGAATGGATCAAAAAACTACGGTACATTTACACAGTGGAATTCTATGCAGCAGAAAGAAAGAAGGAGCTCCTTCCCTTTGCTACAGCATGGATGGAGCTGGAAAGCATTATGCTAAGCGAAATAAGCCAGGCAGTGAAAGACAAATACCATATGATCTCACCTTTAACAGTAACCTAAAAAAAAACAAAAGAAAGAAACAAGCAAACTATAGTTAAAGACACTGAAATAGACGACAGGCTGACAGTGACCAGAAGGGAGAGAAGAGGGAATTTCAGGGGAGAATGGGAAGGGTTTACAGGACACATGGATAAAAACTAGGAGGAGCATGGTAATGGGAGGGAAGAAGGAGGGAAGGGTGGGTGGGCTGGAATGGGAGTAAAAGGCAGAAAACTGTACTTGAACAATGATTAAAATTTTTTAAAAAGTTAAATGAAAAAAATTTTAAGACACTAAACAAAAATTTGAAGAAGAGGGGAATAAATGGAAGTATACATTAGACTCATAGATAGAAAGAATGGATATCACTAAAATGTCCAAATTAACAAATTCAATCTATAGATTCAGTGCAATTCCTATCAAAAACCCAATGGCATTTTTGTTTACAGAACTAGAACAAAGGATAATATTTATATGACCACAAAAGACTGCAAATAGCCAGAGCAATCTTGAGGAAGAGCAAAGTTGAAGCATCGCACTACCTGATATTTAATTATGCTACAAGGCTATAGTAATCAAAAAAAGCATGGTACTGAATTTTAAAAAGACACATAAATGAATAGAACCAAATAAAAACCCCAATAATAAATCCATGCCCATATGATTAATTCATATATGGCAAAGGAAGCAAGAATATACAATGGAGTAAAGACAGTCCCTTTAATAAATGATGTTGGGAAACGTGGACAGACATATAAGAAGTTAAAAGTGAATCAATTCTTTACACCATGTACATGAATAAACTCAAAATAGATTAAAAAAAATATAAGATTCAAAATCATAAAATTTCTAGAAGAAAATACAGGCAGCAGCAAACACTTGGATATTACTCTTAGTAATATTTTTTTCCTGATATATCTCCTGGGTCATAGAAACAAAAGAAAAAAATAAGTAATGAGACTAAATCAAGCTAAAAAGCTTTTGCACAGCAAGGAAAATAAAATCAACAAGTAGAAAATACAACCTACAGAATGGGTAAAGACATTCACCAATAATACATCCAATAAAGGGTTAATATACAAAATTTATAATTAACTCTCACAACTTAACACCAAAGGAAACAAGCAATAAACAATCCATCTAAAAAATGGGCAGAGGACCTAAATAGACACTTTTCTAAAGAGGACATACAGGCGGCCAATAGACACATGAAAAGATGCCCAACATCACTAATTGTAAGAAACATGCAAATTAAAACCAAAATGAGGTTTCATCTCATACTTGCCAGAATGGCAATCACTGTTAAATCAACAAACAACAAATGTTGGCAAGGATGTGGAGGAAAGAGAACCCTAGTGCTCTGTTGGAGGGGATGTAAATTTGTGCAACCACTGAAAAACAGTATGGAAAGCCCTGGCTGGTGTAGCTCAGTGGATTGAGCTCGGGCTGGGAACCAAAGTGTCCCAGGTTCGATTCCCAGCCAGGGTACATTCCTGGGTTGCAGGGCATAATCCCCAGCAACCGCACATTGATGTTTCTCTCTCTCTCTCTCTCTCTCTCTCTCTCTCTCTCTCTCTCTCCCCCCCCACCCCCTTCCCTCCCTAAAAATAAATAAATTAAAAAAAAACAACAGTATGGAGATTCCTCAAAAAAAAATACAAGTATTTTATGGCTCAGCAATTTTTCTTCTGGGTATTTTTCTGAAGAAATCCCAAATATTAATTCAAGAAGATATATGCAATCCTATGTTCATTGCAATGTTACTTACAATAGCCAAGATACAAATGTAAACTTAATGGCCATCAATAGATGAGTAGATAAAAAGGATGTGTAACATACAGGGTACAGCACAAAAAACACCCCTTTTTATTACAAAATCTTTTATTACAAAATCATAAGCATGTAGTTCTATAACATAATAATATCATACTCAAGCATACCATATGATATTTTAGGTGAAATGTCCAATTTAACACTATAAACTATTGCATCCATAGTATTACTCTACCAACCACACTCACATAGGTGTGACTTCTGCTGGACCCTATATATAAAGTGGAACATTACTGGGGCATAAAAAGAACAAAATCTTACCATTTGTTACATGGATGGACCTGTAGGGCATTATACTAAGTGAAATAAATTAGAGAAATACAAATACCATATGATTGTACTTATATTTACCTATATTTTACTTATAAAAAACACAATGAACAAACAAATCAGAAACAGTCATAGATACAGAGACCAAAGTGAGAGTTTCCAGACTGGAGGAGAGTTGAGGAGCTGGGTAAAAAAGATAAAGGGACTAAGAATTACAAATTGGTAGTTACAAAATAGTCTCAGGGATGGACAGTACAACTTAGGAAATACAGTCAATAATATTATTATAACTATGTATAGTACCAGATGGGTATTCAGCTTTTTGGCAGGACTACTTCATAAGTTATATAAATGTTTAACTACTATTCCATATACCAGAAACTAATATAATATTGAATGGCATCTGTAATTGAAAAAAAAAATTTAGTCAAGAAAACTAATAAATAAATAGTTCTGAAATATATGAAGGGATGAGGAAGAAGTAAATTAGTGACTTCATTGGTAAACCAAAAATAGCAGTATGTACATTAAGCAATTGCTATTTATTGAAAGAGGTAATGGAATGAAAAATAAAAATAAAATTTAACCTTGAAGTTGGTCACTTCATTGTCTCATTCAATTGCCATTTTATAAACTAAAATGAATACTTTTTAGACCTTACTACAGCCAGTTTTCCGGATGCACATTATAGTTTTTTTTTAAGATTTTATTTATTTATTTTTAGAGAGGGAAGGGAGGGAGAAAGAGAGAGAGAGAGAAACATCAATGTGCGGTTGCTGAGGGCTGTGGCCAGCAACACAGGTATGTGGCCTGACTGGGAATCGAACCTGCGACACTTTGGTTCACAGCCGGAGCTCAATCTACTGAGCTACGCCAGCCAGGGCACATTATATTCTAAAAATCAGAGTATCAAATTTATGAAACTGAAAGGCTGTGGCAAGACCAGAATCATTGTCTTGCTTTTCTGGCTATTTTTACTGGCCAACAAAGTCATGGTACAATAAGATGAAGTGTCTTCTGCCACCAACTTTCAGACAGCTGCTTCTTTTGGGAATTGACATGTAGTACTGGGGTCATAGTGTCTTCTGGACTTCAGTTTAGCATCAGTGATATCCTCATAGGTGACAGGTCCCCATTAACCAGCTCAAAACTCCTTAGGGAGTCATTCAGAGAGAATGATGAGAATCCACACTGTATAAGCTGCCACAATTTTGTAAGCAACTAATTTTCTGTATTAAATTGATCCCTACTTAAAATGGCCCCAGATATTGTTTTCTACAATGTACTGTGATAGAGAAAGAAACAAGGTAGAATCATAGGAAAAGTTGGACTAATAGAAGGCAGAAACAAATTCAACCTTAATAAGTAACCCAAAATGTAAATGTACTTATTTTACCAACTTATAAAACAGATGGTTAGATTGTATAAATTACAAAATTCAACTCTACACATTAATAAGATCATGTATGAGATTTAGAAAAATAAATATTGAAAGAAAATATATGGCAAAAAATAGGCCAGATAAATACTAACTAAAGTGAAACTGAATTGATGTATTAATAACAAAGTAGATTCATCACAAAGAGAAATTAAAGTAAAAAGAATAACACCAGGTATAAAACATCACTTAATTCATCAAGAAACTTTCAGATTCCCTGCAGTCAATAAATACCTTCATCAAATATAAAATGAAAATTTATAAAACTTCCAGTAAGGAAAAAAAAGAAAAGAAAATCTGCTATTATACTATGAGATTTCAATTCTCTTTCAATTGTTAATGAATTAGTAAAGTGATAAAATGTTTGAGCAATCCAATAATTGGGATTTTCAAATCCTTAGTTTCTTTGGGTAAACACTAAGTAAATATAAATAAAAAGTTATGTAAGCATTTTAAATTAATGTATTAATTCAAAATTGAGCCAATTTACCTTATTCAAGTTTCTATAATGTAAATGCCATTTCCCAAACTCACCATGCATATCTTAGCATCTCCATATCACATATCTTAAAATCTTGATTCTAGATATTGGATATTATGGGAGTAAGATACTCCAGATTTGAAATACTTAATACCCTGATGAAAACTATTTTTACATTTATTTTATCACAGGCCACCAGAAAAGTGTGGACTGAAGTACAAACCTGTGACTTTGCCCAAGGTGAGTGACTTTACAGCCTTGAACTCCACTTCTGGGGAAAAGTTATAACTGAGCCGGAGCTGCTCATCCATCTGCAGGGAAACAGAAACAGGTGCATCAGCAAAGTCTGCACACAAAGCACTTAATACACTTCCTCTGGGAAAAAAAAAAAGTGCAAAATCACAGGGCATACCCTATCTGTGGCTTTCCCCCTGGAGGAATGAGAAATGACTCACAAATTCTCCCATAATGCACATAAAATATTCCTTTACTTCCTCTGGCTTTCACACAAGTTTTCTCCCTGAGAAATTCTGTACAGCTTTTACAAGTATTTATCTCCCCTCTGAGATTTATTTGATTGCCAAATTCCTTGCTGCAAACATTTAAACGAATAAAGCCTTAGAAACTAGGAACACACTTGATAGGATTAGCATTAAATGGAAAACAGTACCCATTCCCCAATTTATTCCCTCTTATCCTCATTTTGTCCTTAGAGAGTCATCACTGTTACCATTGTTCCATTATTTCTGACCTTGTCTCATTCATGTATGGACACTGTGGAATTTTCTTGACCATATATCTTAGTTTGACAAAACTTTAACCTTGGGTAGGGAAGGCTGGATAGTTACCAGCAACATGAACCTCATCTAGCAGGGTTAAGCAAAAGCCACCCCTGGGATTCTCTAGGACTCGATTGCCAGCATCATTTTTAGGGAACACTCTTTGCCTCACCCACTGCTAATTCCAGTTCTGTCTCTTTCTTATCCTCTTCTTTCCAAGGTAGTATCCTGCCCTCATCCATTTTACTTTTTTTTAGTCTAGTCAAATCCTACCAGTTTCTTTCAGACTCTATTCTGAATATTTATATGATGTTATTCCTGGAAATGATACTCATTATCTTAACTTTCACCTGTAAGAAAAGGAGCTTAAGATACTTTTAGCTGAGTGCCTGACTCTGGTTCCTCTTAGGGAGTGGCTGATTAGGACTAACGATTATTTCTTCTGGCTTCCACTACCACAACTTTCCTTCTGCACCTATTTGTCATGCAGCAGTGTCTGCTGTGAGAGGAGTCCTAGCTGTGACTTGTATGTGATTATATGCTTTGTTTCCCTTCCATTTATGAAAACTGACTGTAGTGATATTTGTAATTTATTGAACACTTGTTATATGAGGCAGTATACTGAAGTATCTTTAAAAATCTATTCTTATCTAGAACATTGAGAAATAAATAGTATTATCCTCATATCACAGTCTGGGGAACTGATATCACCCAGAAATAAACATCTTTGCCAAGGCCATGAACTGTCACAAAGCAGTGTCCCATCGTCATGTGAGCTATCCACAGGCACTATGCTTCTTGCTTTATTATACATACTTCTATAGACATTTTAGCAACTTTAGTGAATCACAATTTTTATTTCTGAATTTTTACAAAATTAATTTAACAAATGTTTGGGTGCCTACTGTGTGCCAGATAATGTTCTTAGTGCTCCCAGAGTCAACCCCCTCCAAGCAGCTTTTCTTGATACCTTGTTTAAGTTAACTGATCCTCCTCTCTTGTTTCATGGTGCCTTTTTCTACTCTAACCTTGTATTATGCCACATCATAATGATCCACTCCTCTCTCTCTGTCTCTCTCCCTCCACTAAACTATTTGTACCTTGAGACTATGGATATCCTATTAATGAATAATATGTTTCTAAAAAGACTACTACAAAAACTGGAAAAATAATTCCTAACACAAATTTGCTGAGTGATTAAATAAACATCTTGTGTTAATTCCCTTTCTATCTTGTGGGTTATAAAGTCAGAGTCTGTCACATCACCAGGATGCCTCTGGCTATACTGGAATTCCCGGTTCCCAATCTGTTTAATACTCACAGATTCAGATTGCCCTGAAGGAGTTTTCTTCCCGTGCTACCTCAGAGTTCTCCCCTATCTCAACTACCTCTGTACAGCTTGTTGTGCTGGCATTTTGAAAACTGACAATCTGTTTAATGCCATAAATGCATTTTAAACAGGGACATTGAAGTTCATCTTCACTACTAAGGCATTTTTGTGGGCACCTGTGTCTTAAAAAACATTAAACCCATTATAACTCTCAATCATGACCAGGAATTCTTGCTTTTTGGCTAAAGCCCCAGCCTTCAACTTCTCCTTCTTACTATCAGAAATAAAAGAGAGGATGAGGAAAAGCAGGCCTGGAGGTGTGGAGAATCTGTTATTAGGTGCCAGAGGCCTTTGGCTGGCGAAGTAAGGCAATGGTTGCCTGCCCTCTCTCTCTGAAGGTTCTGATTACTACCTGAGACCCAGCTCCATAGGCCTGGGGTATAGAAGTAGAGTAGCCTGTCCTTTTTTATTTTTCCTGAACAGCCTTTTCTAGGTGGAAAAGAAGGAGAAGAGATTGAGAGGGAGGGGGAAGGAATGTAAAGAAAGAAAGTGTGTTAATAAACTGATTTAAAGTTAAAGAAGAAAAACTCCTCTACCTCCAGTTCTTTCTGGTCCCTTCAGGGTTTTGGAAATAGTATGTCCTCAAACACGATGTGCTTATCATTTCCTATTAATTGATTGGTGGAAATTGTTTAGAGGGAAAGGAAAGGAAATACCTTTTTATCATTCTTTCACTGCCCTGTTTATGTCTTTCACTTGTGGAAAAAAAGATAGAAAATATAAAGAGGAGGAAATAAGAGTCATATATACAAATGTGCACTGGAATGCATCCCAAATATCTCCTCAGGACCTCAGTCAAAACATATTGAAACAAGAAGTCATCATTCCCATCCCTTTTCTCCTTTAATGTGGCCGCAACCCAAATTTTCTGACTCTTTTCTCTTATTTCAAGAGTAAATGCTAGGGGTAAGCACATTAATTTATAATCACACAGGTGTGTTATTTGTATTATATAATTGACAATTAATCTGGAGCTTCCACTTAATTAGGAAAATCAAGAGTCAATCTAGACTTCTATCATAGCCCATATCAACATACTTGTAATCTTAAAAGGACAAAGACTTTTGATGGACTTTGGAAATAAAAAAAAGTCAGAGTTGAAAACATTGAGTTACAGGGGGGATAGTAATGGAGGAGATCAGAGAAATATCAGTGAGAAGGTAGCAAGGATGCTGGGTCATGCATGTCCTCTCCAGATGCTGGGGCCTGCCCTGCCTCGTCTCAGGAAGCTGTAATCCCCCACAACTTAGGCTGAGTGAGAGACCTCCGAACCAGGAGCCACTAAGCAGATAAAATATATTTCCCTGGCATGAATGCTGCCTGTTCTGTGCTTGGCCTCATATGCTTGATCAATTAGCCAATGATGGGCAAGATTTCCCATGGGGGGAATTGCCTAAGACAGGCATGATCACATGGAGGCCTCAGGGAAGAGACTTGGGGGTGTGGAATGAAGGGGTGATGGACATTAACCCTGACCCCTCAGCTTTGTTAAAGCCTGAGTCCTTGTTCTTAGTTGTGAGGATTCCTAGTTTCCTGGCTCCCTTGGTCTCCTCTGCTGACTCAGGCCTGGGTAAATAACAGGGGCGATGCAGCCCAGACCAGAAATAGTGGACTCCCGGGGTAATCAGGCCTGGGACATAGAATATGCAAGATCCTGTGAGATCTGCTTGCTGGAGGATGCTATTGAATTAGAATATGAAGGTATGGGAAGGAAACAAGGCTAGCCTTTTAGGTCCTGTAGTAATAAAACCCTTAACTCTGCCCAGAATCCCAGTGGGAGTTCTGCCAGCACCTTTGAAAATTACCTGCTTGTTTGATCTCCCTGCCAGGCTGATTTCCACAAACTGTGTCTGTATTCTTAATAAAAACCTACTAAGGTGGGGGCTCAGGGAGCTTTCCACTAGAGAGCGTGGCCATTTCGTCCCTATTTCCCCACAGGACTCGGTTGTCTCTGTGTATGTTTTTCTCCTGTTTCCATAAGCATCCACAGCAGGGATGGATACTGCTGCAGATACTTATGAATACTGCTGGGTTTTGGAAGTTAAAGGGGGACCAAAAAAGCAACTAGAGGCATAGAAGAAACAACACGTGAAGGCAGTGTCTGGCAAGCCTGATGAAATGTGTCCCAAGAGCAGATAGAAATTACTGTGTTTGATCCCATTAGAAAGCAAGTAAGAAAATACCATCAGAATTTGTGAGATAAGGCCATTGGTGTCATGAGAAATACTGTTTTACTGTAGCACAGGGAGAAAAATCACTGGAGTAGATTTAAGAAAAAAGAAGGGAAAATTCAGGAACCAAGCATACAAACATCTCCATGGATTTGAGTAATAAGCTAAAAGGGAAAATGGATAGTATATAAAGTCAGATAAGAGGACAAAAGTTTTCCTTCCTGGATCCAGAGAAAGATTTTTTTTAAGTTATTTTGTTGTTTGTTTTTCATGTAATATTTGCATGTTTTATATTTTGGGAAGCCACCCATTAGAACTAGAAATTGTTGAAAAGGGAGGGAAGGGGATAATGCTGAAATGATGTTTTTTTGAATAAGGTATGAGGTCTGGCCTGCAAGTGGTGGGTCAGGCCTTAGCTAGGACCATTAAGTCTTCATACTCAACAAGAGGACTGTAAAAGAGAGTATAAAGACACAGATCCAGATAGTTGGATAAAAGTGGTAATGAGGTATGTGGATATTCTCTTTTAAATGCAGTTTTTTCACAAGAAAGAAAAAAAGTCATCTGCTAAAAGTAAATATGTAGCTGAGATTATTTGGGGTATAAGGAGAAATGAGGAAGTTTAAAATTGTCACCTAGGAGATCAAGGAAGTGAATGGATTAAAAAATAAGGCATGACTGCTGGGCAGATTTAAGGGCTAACTTCAGGTCATGATTTTTAAAAAGGTGATATGGACTCTGCCAATTCTCTATTGTAATCTGCCATCATCTGCTGCCTACACAGAAAAATTTTACACTAGAATTTTATGGAGTGCCTGCCACATACTATACCCTTGTAGACAGCTTTGCAAATGCTCACATAGACCTCCTGTTTGAGCACTTAGCTCTCCTTTCTCCACCTAACTAATTTCGAATTACCTTCAAGACTAAGTTTAGTCCCAGCTTTGCCCAGAAAGAACCCTTCTCTTTGCCCTCCTTTCACCTGTGCACACTTCAGTCCTAGCCCTTGAGAGTCCCTTGTGATCTCCTTTTCACTCACATATCTCTCTATCATACTATAGTTCAGGAGTTATAAGCTTGAATAGGCATTAGAATCATCTGCAGACTACCTTGCAAAGAAGTTTCTGACTAAGTACATCTGTTGTTGAGCCCAAGAATTTGCATTTCTAACAAGGTCCCAGTTGATGCTGATGCAGGTAGGAAGAAGTAGCACACTTTGAGAACCACTATTCAATCTTTTCAAAGACTGGGGCCAAATGTGGTTTGTATATATCCCAGAACTTGGCTGCACACTTGGCTTGGGGTAGAAGCTCAGAAAAGTGTTACTGAGCATTCAAGACATATTTGGCTGAATGAAAAGAGGAAAATAAGGTACCTGAATGGTAAGCTCTCTTCCCTCTCGGTTAATCTTCAAGTGGTGCATCCTTCTGTTGGCAAAGTTTTCTACCTCAATAGTGAACACATGGATCTCTTCCTTGCTCAACTGATAGTGAACTTGTAAGCTTCCTTGAAAAATAAATGTTAGAAATTAGAATTAAAAACACAACCCATAAAATGTAAAAGCATAATCAGATCATATTTTAATTGATCATTATCATTCAATTATATTGAAAATTTGAATTAAATCAAAAGGTTTAATGTTTTAATACTTTCATCATTTAAATTTTTAGAAGATATTCTATTTTTTGTCTATGTCTGTGGGCTATGCATACATGTTCTCTGGCTAGACCCTTCACCTTCTTTCATCTAGTCCTTTCTACCCCATCTCCTCTGAGAGCTGTCAGTCTCTTCCATATATCCAAGTCTCTATCTCTATTTTGTCAGTTTATTTTGTTCATTAGATTTCACATATAAGTGAGGTCACATGTAATTTGTGTTTCTCTGATTAGCTTATTTACTTAACATAAGAATCTCCAGGTCCATCCATGCTTTTGCAAAAGGTAAGAATTCCTTCATTTTTATGGTCACATAGTATTTCTTTGTGTAAATGCATTACAACTTTTTTATCCACTCATCTATGGATAGGCACTTGGGCTATTTCCAGATATTTGCTATTGTAAATAAGGCTGCAATGAACATAAGATATGCTCATTGTTTTGAATTGTGCACGTGTTTTGAATTGCTGTTTTGGGATTCCTAGGATATATTCCCAGAAGTGGGATCATTGGGCCAATTGTTTTGGTCCATAAAGAAATTCCTAAGTACAGATGCAAAATTAAAGTGCATGTGAATGTGTGGAGAAAGTATAATCATAAAACAAAATACCAATTTTTTAAAATAAAACAACAATAAGTCTATTTTATAATTGAATTGTGAAAACTTTTGTAAGATTAAGTTTCTTTCCACTTTTTCTTTAATTGCTACCATATCCTATAACTCTTTTTCTTCATAATTATCTTCATGGAATTTCAGATATATAATGTAAAATAACCTAAGGCAGAATAAAAAATAATTTGGGATTATGTGGCCATTACCTAACAGTTAGCCAAGGGGAGAAGCGTCCCTATAGTCAATTCTGGGTTTTTCTGTTGTGTTCTTTCTTTATGGTTCTTACCATCAGAAATTTCTAAATATTAATATTTTTGATATTTTATCACTTAATTAATAATAGCTATCTATCAGCATCACACTTGGTACTTATAGGACTTGGGTAGGGGTGGGGGTAGCTATGAAGATAAGCAGACATTAGGCAAAGGGATCTTGGCTGCCTTTGCTAAAAAACCTTAAAGACATATCTTGTGCACTGGTTGCTGTTGGATGGCATCCGTCTTCAGGCTTCTTTTAATTTGAAGAATCTGGGTGTTTTAATATTTCATTCAACAAAATAAAATAAATCAGCATGTGATAATTATGTATTAGTCATGGTGATAAGAACCACATTCCTTAAGGAAATTTACACTGTTGTACCATCCCACACTTTGGCTAATTCATATGCATAGTCATATTCTGTATGTATTTGTCCATTTTAGAAGTTATGTCCATTTTATGCATCTTTTCTGACACCTTCCTCACAACTATTCATTTAGATGTCAATGATCTTAACAGGGACCCTGTTAAAGAATGTTGAATCATACTTAACATCTCAGTTTATGTCTAAAACACCTCAACCAAGAGAATAAATACATTAATCAAATATTAACAGGCATAATTAGAGAGATTGACAGTAACATGATAATAGTAGGGTATTTTAAAACCCCACTCACATCAATGAATAGATCAGCCAGACAGAATATCAACAAGGAAACAGTGGCCTTGGCAAAACATTAGAGCAGGTTGACTTTACACATATCTAAAGAACATTATACCACAAATCATCAGAACACACATCTTTTTCAAGTGTATCTGAAACATTTTCTAAAATAGACCACACCTTAGACCAGAAAACAAGTCTGAGTAATTTGAAGAATATCAAAATCATTTTGAATATCTCCTTCATTAGTGATGGTAAAAAACTAGAAATCAATTGCCAGAAGAAAACTGAAAGAAAAAAAACACACCAACACATGGAAGACAAACAACATTTTACTAAACAATTAATGGATTAATAAAGTGTGTTGTGACCATTCAAGGTTAAGCAGGTTCACTCACAGTTCAAGCAATTCAGGAAGAAAATTTGCAGATCCCTGGGAATGCCTGATATGTCTTTATTCTAGGGTGGGGTGATCCACACAGGATGCAAGCCATGTGTTTCACTGCATGTTGTTCTGGCAGGGAGTCCAGACTCCCTTAAATACTAAATGCACACAAAGCTGGTAGAGTGCCAAAACATTGTATAACAAAGCATGATTCTGCACATGTGGGCCCACTCAAGGGGATGGGAATGCTGCTTATTGGGCCCATTCTCAAGATTATAGGAAAACTGCTTCTTTTAGTTGCGCAGACAGCTTGGGGAGAAAGCCTGATTTACTCCATTTAATTAATTAATAAATTAATGTGATATACCATATATACAAAATAAAGGGGGAAAATCATATGATTATCTCAATAGATTCTGAAAAAGCATTAACCAAAATTCAGCATCCTTTTCATGATAAAAACACTCAACAAAGTGGTATAGAAGAGATATACCTCAACATACAAAAGGCCACATATAACAAGCACACAGCTAACATAATACTCAATGCTGAAAAACTGAAAACTTTCTCTCTAAGATCAGATATAAGGTAAGTATGCACATTCTCTAAAAGTCATAACAAAGGCAATCAGACAGGAAAAAGAAATAAAAATATCCAAATAAGAAATAAAGAAACAAATTTTTATTATATTCTGATTACATGAAACTATATGTAGAAAACCCTATATACCCTAATAAAATTATTAGACCTAATAACTGAATAAAGTAAAGTTTCATGTTGAAAAATTAATATTCAGAATTCTGTTGTTTTCTATAAAATGAGTTAACAATAAGAGAAATTAAGAAAACAATCCTATTTACAATTGAATCAAAAAGCAATAAAATAGCTAGGAATAAATTTAATCAAGGAGCTAAAAGACTTATACTCCAGAAACTATAAGACATTGACAAAAGCAAGTGAACAAGACACAAATAAATGAAAACCTATACTGCCTTCATGTTCTCAAAGAATTAACATTGTTAAAATGTCCATACTACTCAAAGCATTTACCAATTCAATACAATACCAATGGCATTTTTCACAGAACTAGAACAAGCAATCCTAAAATTTATATAAAAGCACAAAAGACACAGGATAGTGAAAGAAATAATGAGAAAAAAATAACAGTGTTGTAGTTATCACACACCCTGATTTCAAACTATTTTACAAAACTCTAGTAATCAAATTACTATTGTATTGGCACACAAACAGACACATAGATCAATGGAGCAGAGTAGACATCTCAGAAATAAGTCCAAGATTATATGCTCAACTAATCTATGACAAAGGAGGCAAGAATATACAATGGAGAAAAGATAAGCTCTTTAATAAATAGGGTTGTGAAAACTAGACAGATATAAGCAAAAAAAAAATAGAAAGAAAGAACTAGACTGTTTTCTTCCCCATATTCAAAAATAAACACAGAATGGATGAAAGAATTAAATATAAGACATGAAACCATAGAACTCCTAGAAGAAAACTTAGGCAGTAAACTGTTGACATTGTTCTTAGCAATATATATGTATATCATATGTCTCCTTGGGCAAAGGCAAAAAAAAATCAACAAAAAGAAAAAGAAAAAGAAAAATGTGAAACAACATCAAACTAGAAAGCTTTTGCACAGTGAAGAATCAATATGATATAAAGGCCACTTACTAAATGAAGGAAGACATTTGTAAATTATATATATATGGTAAACTGTTATATTACAAAATATATAAAGAACTCATACAACTCAGCATCAACAAACAAACAATCCACTTAAAAAATGGGCAGAGGACCTGAATAAACATCTCTTCAAATAAGACATAGAGATGGCCAACAAGTACATGAAAAGGTGCTCAAAGAATTGAGAAAGGAGGAGGTGATTAAGAAGAGCAAACTCCACTTATAAAATAAGTCATAGGAATGTAATGTAAAGCATAGGAAATAGAGTCAATAACATTGTGATGACTATGGTTATTAAACTCATCATAGTGATCACTTTGTATGAATCACTATATTGTACACCTGAAGCTAATATAATAATTTATGTCAATTATAATTAAAGTGAATTAATTTAAAAATAAAAAACAAAGCATCTCAGTTATTTTACAGCCATGCAAATATTGATCTTATTTTCTTAGAGTTTTATACAATCAATGCCTCTCAAAATTTCCCAATATGATACCTGAAACCTTTCCCTAACTCATTTTCACATAATTCACAGGAAGAGAACACTCAATCCACAACTTTTTAAAATAAGCTTAATACAACTAAAGACTAACTTTCAGTTTGGCATGAGGCACTGTGTTGAGAGAGAGAATAGTATAGGGTCAGACAGACTTCCCCAGTGTCTTCTTCAGTTATTTAGTGAACTAAGGGGCCATTCTTTCCTTTCAGTGTGCACTCTGGTGATTCAGCAGATTCCAATCAAGTTTTTCAAGGTCATTGTCATATTTGCTAGTCTCTGGAGAACCCTGAGGCCTACAATTGTCCTCTGCTCTAAGGCCTTCCTCTACTTCCAATATACACCTTATCTATAGGCTTTCATTTTCTCTCTAGAGTTCCATATCCCCATATTTCCTTCTGAGTTTAACAAAATGGTAAGTATCACAAACTTATAGTTCCATACACAACAGACTGAAGGAAGTCTATGTCTATAAATCCAGTAAACTAAAATATGGATTGTTCTGATCAGGAGTTCACTACTATTTACATAAGGTACTATAATGCATCCTCTTCTATTTAGTCTCAATTATTATTTTTCTATTATATATATAACATTCCTACATTATAGAGAGCATATCTTTGTGCACATATATAAACTGGTATAAGATGTCCACAATGTGGAAATCAGATATAAAATTCATTTGAGCCCCATTTAGGGTTTTTCAAAATATCCTTCTAGAA